TACTACAACTTGCCTTACTCACTACCCAGACAACTCTTTAATCACCACATGTGTGACCACTAGCACTCAACTTATATGTAGCTGTATCTTAGTTTTCAGGGATCAGGCAAAGGCATCCACAATGGCATAGCTTAGTGGCAACTCTGCCTGGTTGGTGACTGTTTGCTTTGTCATTGACTACCCACACCAGAAACTTGACTCTGTCATTGTTACTTGGGAACTAGCAGCCTCTACCCACACACATCCCATTATAATCTCCTCACTCCTAGGAACCCATTTTCTCTTCATATATTGAAATCTCTGTAAACTGAGCTAAATCAGCCTACTTGCCTTACTAGCCATCGTGTTTGGGCTTGTCCTGTTCATTTCTGCCAGGAAAGACTGTCAGAGCCAAGAAGCTAAAGATGAGTACTGGGGCAAGGACAAGCATAATCATTCTGGAAAACCAGTGAGACATGACCATGCCAGGTCAAACTTGGCAACTGTGCTGCATAGCTGAAGGGCACCAACTAAGGGAGGTGACAGACAGGGCACAAATACCATCTTCTCAAAAGATCTGCGGCATGAGATTAGCTATGCCATGCTGGCCTCTCTGTCTTCCATTGTTTCGTGGCATTCTGTATCTACCCTGCTGATTTGTTGAGTGAAAGAAAGCTCTTGCTAACCACTCTCTAATTTAAACAAGATCAAATAAGATAGAAACCTCAAAGAAGTGTATCTGCTCTCGTATCTGTCTTTACCTTCTTATTCCTTTCTCTTTTCTCTGCCACACTTTTCCCCCTTCTCCCCAGATCCTGTCAGAAAATTGTCAAAGGAAGGAATCCCAGAAGCAAAATTATTTTAAAAAGGAAAGGCCTAAAATGAAAACAAACAAAAAAAGAATATACATATGTAACATTTGAATCCTGACTTTGCTGCCTCTATCTAGAGAGTCTGTTGGTGGGGGGGGGGGAGCATGCTCTTGACTTACTTTGGACACTCAATAAATAGCAATTATCCTATTTTTGTTGATAAGATTGACAAGGAACCTAGAAGATTAAAAATTCTTTGATGCACCTTATAGCAAAGGAGAAAAATGAACTGTATAAGAGAAAAAAAGAATTAGTGGATTTGGACTATGTATAAATAAAAGGTGAAAGAAAACAGTGAGGCAGTGCTGTGGTTCTGAGGAGAGATATGAGAGACACAAGTGGCTGAAGATTCCCCCTTAAACATTTCCAAATTGCCAGAGAGCGAATGATGTGTAGTAAAGCAGAATGAAGGAAAAAATGGAACATATCAAACAGTGGTACTATTTCCACTCACTCTCAGGATGAAATGTTGACAGTTTTTCTACATGAATTTACCAATCCAAGAGAACATACAGTTCATCAAACCCTATTTGCATTACTTCCTCCTGCTTCTTTTACTTGACACTTCTATGAATTGGCTCTAGAATCCATATCAAAGGACACCCTTTCAGATCTTTCTCATAGAATCCAAAGACAAAGTATGTATGCAAATACATTTTTATTTAGGCTATAAATGTAGGGGCTCCTTCAGCTTGTAAGGAATCTACTTTTGCCTGTACATGTCTACATTTTCTCATCTCTCAATGTCCATCTTTGGATTTCATTCCATCAGTGAATTCTGGGAAAGTATGGAATAGTGTTTGCATTTTTCAGCAACACAATATGAGGTAGTTAAACTATTAAAAATTGACTTCCAAAATGCTTATTGAATGCTGATGACGAAGTAAAGTCCTTTATTTGCAGATAGCTTAAGATTGATTCTCTGGGTTAGGAACACGGTGAACATACATGAACATTTAAACATATACAGGGAATATAGAGAAAAGCATACATCGAATATGCACTTATTTCTATCCTAGAGTAGGTGAAAGAGTTTCAGAGCATAATGAGAAAGATCAAGAAGCTGCAGAAGAACCTATTATATTCAGATCTGTAGCCAGTACCTGGAAACTGATTCACATGCAAATATGTTTGTGGCTAATAATTTTCCACATTTTGGCAAAGCCATTGGCTTCATTCTCAGGTAAGTATGCAGATAAAAATGACAGTTTTAATACTGAAGGTATAGTAACCACCCTTTTCTGGGTGGCTAACAAATGCTGAAAACTAGAGTCTGTGAAGGATATTGTGACCATGTGGATCAAAGTGCCAGAACTTACCCAGGGATATCCACATCTGTTAGACCTCTTTTGGGGGAAATTCCATTGTGTCAGCTCAGATAGGTGTCCAAGGTTGCTCTTTATACTGAATGCGAGTGACCAGGTCCTGCTGAGAAAGCCCTCGGGTACTGTACCATTAAATTTCAACTATTAATTCCTTAATTTCCTTCCTACAAGAAAGACTAGCTGACTGCTCTGCCCTGTTGTGGCTCCACAGACTCTTTGCTAAAGTGCATTCATTATCTCCCAGAAAGCACAGTGCCAGGGTAAAGTCTGGCTCCCACATTTTCTGTGCTGTTTGACACAGGTCATGTTCTTTTGGGTGTGTCTTACATGGTATGTAAACATAACACTCTAAGCTTATCTGGCCTCTACGTCTCTATCTACACTGGTTCCCGTCTTCCCCTTCCCATTGCCTTAGTAGAAACCATAACCACTAATTGACTACTGCAATGTATTCTAAGCAACTTCTTTGCTTCTACCCTTAACCCACCCCAGGCTCACCATAGTGACTGTACTAATAGCGTTAAAATGTAAACTTAATTAACATCCTTCTGAGACTTTCTTTTAGAAATCAAACCCAAACTTTTTTGTTGTTGTTGGCAGTAGTAGGGAATGAACTCAGGATAGCCCTTTAGAAATTTTTTATTTTGAGAAGGTCTCACTAAATTGCCCCAGGTTTACCTTGAATTGATGATCCTCCTGTCTCAGACTCCCAAGAGCTGAATTAGAGGCCTGAGCTACTGGTCTGGCCAAATTTAGACTTCTTAATAGGTCACACAAAAGACCCCAGGGTCTGTCTCTTACCTGCTGTCTTTAGCCTCAGCTCTTTAACCCCCTGGGAGTTTCCTACCCTTGAGCTTACTTGTACTTTGTAAACACTGTATTTTTTCACATCTTTGTTTTTGCCCCTGTTGGTGCAACTGTAATACCTAGAAACCCTTTCTATCCTCTTTGCTTAGCTAGCTGCAATTCATCATTTTTAAAAACAGCTTTATTGAGATAAATTCACCTAACATATAATTCACTTATTTAAAATGTACAATTCAGTGGGTTTTAGTTTACCACAGCATTTTGCAACAATTATAATGATTTAATACCAGAATAATATGTCTTAACAAAAGAAACCTCCCACCATTACTGGACACCTCCCATTTCCCTCCAACTCCCCCCTATCCCAGCCCCTGGCAACCTGTCCCAGGTTCATCATTCCAGATTTCTCAGATGTTGCCTCTTCTTGTCTACCTCCCAGGCCCCTGGTTTCAGAGTCTGTTATCTGGGCTCCAATAATATTCTATGCACAGCTCTGTCTTCACACTTACTCCACTGTATCCTTTCCTGCCTACCCACAGGAAGTGACTTATTCACTTCTGGTACCCTAATACCTAGCAGTTTGCCTGACTCATAAGTAGTGCTCCTTAGTTATTGGCTGAAGGAAAGAATGACAGGGAGGAAAGCCTCTCAAGGAGCTGGGAAGATGAGTGAACCTACACATAAAGGCAGTCAGTGGGTGCCTAACAGCCCATTTTTTCAGCTCATTTGCACTTGGATAAACATGGCAACCAGTGCACTCACATTGCTTTCATCTCTACCATTGATGTGAATGTTGTAGAACCTAGGGAAATATTACCCTCAGTACTGGAAGAAGTTTATCCTCAGGAAATATTCATGATACAGAAGTTTAAGCTTTAACTATGGGACTAACAGTGACTATCTTCCTCCCTCCCTCATTTTCTCCTTCTCTTTCCCTATCTGTCTATACACCCTTGAAATATTTGCCTTTGTTTTTAGATCACATTTCAGAGTATTTCTCTTTAACAATGTAGGTTGTAAGATTTTTAAAAAATAGTGCAGCATGACATGTCTGAACATGAATTCATTCTGAAAGCTGTTTAGTTGTTCCTTTTCCATGTAACATTTCTTTTTTAAGATTGGATATTAGAAAGCGTATCAGGAAGGTAGTATAAAACAATTTGAAATCACAGTAGACTACAAAGATGTTAAAAATTAAACCATTTCAACTTGGGCATTTTATTTTACTGATTGGGTAGATGGGGATGTATGCTGACTCCAGCCACCACTGTTTTTCTATACCTTTCTCTCTCTTCTCAGTCTTTTCTTCTAATCTCTTATTCTGTCATGTTTGCCTGCCCTCTCCTCCATTCCTGATCTTTATCTCTCCTTTTTTCTCCCCTCTGCACCATTTTAGTTTGAGTGCTTCCTTGTGTTTCTTTTTCTGTTTCTCCTCCACTTTCTCTTTCACTCTTCTTCCTGACTAGCCTACTTTCTCTTTCTTTCCTTCTGTTCTTTTCACCTAGGATGAGGTAGCAAAGGAGAAGGAGGTGAGCAGAAACAAGTATGGATAGAGATTGACAGTGGATCTGGCCTGCACCTACCCTGTCACCTGCCACTAAAGGGGATGTGCCCTGGTCTGAAACCACCCTATCTTCCCCCCTTTAATGTAAGGCACATAACCTCTCTGTGTCTCACTTTTCTCCTCTCTAAATGAAAACAAAATAATCCTCTCCCAGACTACCTAGGGTCAAACCTGGGAATGAATATGAAAAAGGGTTGAAAAGAAACAGACCCCTGCAATTGGAAAGCAATGGGGTGGGGGTCGGGTTGCTGCCTTGCACTGCACAGGGATCTAATTAACTGAGGATTGCAACTCTTGCCCTTTTGTGGAATGTGGTTTTTTTCACTTTTGTTCTACTCATCAAATCACTTGGATGTCTGTGTACTTATTTAAATGTTCTTAGTGTCTTTATAGGGGAAGGATAACCTTTTCTTTTGTATACTGTTGATTTTTATCCCTATCTTTTCTTTCTAGCAAATGGAACCTCCAGCAGCCAGCTCTCTACCCCCAAGTCTAAGCAGTCTCCCATCTCTACGCCCACAAGTCCTGGCAGTCTCCGGAAGCACAAGGTATTATGTCTCTTATACCTTACTAAACCCCTTTGCTCTCAGAGTTTTTTTGAATGGCTGGGTGGAGGTTTTGTTATGCATTCTACTTCAACAGTACATTAAGGTCAGAATTCCACCTAATCTGGCTCTATTAACTTCAAATCCTGAGAATCCCAAGAGGGACCAAACCTGGAGTCACTTTTATTTACTCTCTGACCTTTGCTTTATTACATTTCCAATAGCAGTCCTGAGTACCCGTTCTGAGGTACCCAAACCACGTCTTGGGAAATGGATTGAGCACTTGTCTCCTCAATTCAGAGACTTAGAAACAGGGGGTTTGAGGTCAACTTATTGTACCATTCAATAGAAATAATATAAAGATAGTGGTAAGCAAAAATGTTGCACTGAGTCACTCCCTTTAGATTCAATGGACCTCAGTGAACAAATGGGCCCCAGTATCACTGAGTATTCTTCATTATCAAACATATTCTGGTATAATATATGAAGAAAGGACATATTGCAATGGCCTTGGGCACCATTTAGACCCCTTAAGTTGTCCCAAGTAAATACAACATTAAAAGAAGAGAAGTGTAAGAGTTGGGGTGTAGCTCAGTAATAGGGCACTTTCCTGACATGCACAAGGTCTTGGGCTTAATCCACAGTAGTGCAAAAAATTAATAATAATAATAATAATAGATGCTTGTAAGTTCCCTAGCAGCTCTTTCCAAGAAGATTCCCACACAGAAATCTCTCCTGTGTAGAAAATCTGGATAGTCAGATTTTCTCAGGTAGTAAGGATACTTCTAGGATTCTCTTGTCTTCTCCTTGCTCACAAGAATTGGCATGAGATTGAAAAAGACAAAACCCCACCAATTAGGCTAACTTCATGACAGAACCATAGATGGTCAGAATGGAGGACCTCATAGAGGAATTTTTTTTTCATTTGCTTCTTTCAGTAAGCAATATTATAAGGCTGTCATTTTACATATAAGGAAAATGAGACCCAGGTATCTAAGTTACTTTAGTAAGGGCAACATAGTTAGCTACAAAACTGGGATGCAAGTCACTACCAGTGGTATGCTGGTGTTCACACTAATTTCTAAGAGCTGATTGTGTACATCACTTTCTAACTCTGTGTTCAGTGATGTTATGTTGGTAACTTGAACTCTGCCATGGTAAGAATATTTATACCATGGAAATCAAAACATATGAGTCAAGGTTGTCATTTTCTCATAGATAGTCACTTGTTCAACATTTAGCAGTACACTATTGTCTGCCTTCCATCTTCATTTCCTTCTCTGTACATCAGACTTTTAGTTTCCTTGTTAATCAGGCCATCGCCTGCCCTATCATTGCTAATGCCTGTTCCATTCTTTTAATGACCCCTTTCACTTCTGGTATTGATCCTGAGTAGAACCTTCTGATTGTCTTCCTGAGCTATTTAGTTTCAGGATTTGCTGAACTGTCTTTGTAGACTTTGTTTCTTGGAGATTGTGAGATGGATGAAAATTGCTTTTACCTACTCAGTTTTCAGTTATTTGCTGAGCAACAAAGCTTGTTAGTATGGACATTCCAAGATGGGAACAACCTACCTCTGTTGTTCCAATGCCTATAAAGAACCTCCTATACTTCACTATACTGCTTCTTACTATATCTTTGTCTTATGCCTTTGTGCCCCTATCTTCCTTCTGGGAAGAGTGATTTACCCCAACACCTTCCATCAGTACATTTCCCAAAGTGCTAGAGGCAACTTGGGCATTTACTCTGCACACTTGAGTCATTCAGCTTTTTAACTGACATGTCCGGTTTGTTTAGGCTGAGGAGCCATCATTCATAAGCCCATTGAGGTGAGTGTTGGCATTGTTAAACTGTTTGTCCGGGTTGAGCTTGCAGGCATTTGTTTGTTTTTTGACTCAATTCTAAAAACAATTTCAACCATTGCTAGAAAGAGGCAGCATTGTCAGAGGCTCACTGCACATTTGGAATTTTCAGTACATCATTGTATTTTTAAAATTGCCATTTCTCAAGATAGTTAAGAAAGTGAACATGAAATAATGAATAATATCACAGTTAGATTTTGGTATAATGTGCGACTTTAAAAACTTATTTTATATCACTTCATCTTACAGAAGAGTTGCAGTAATAATAACGTTTCTATATACTTTTTTATTACAAATTCACCAGTTATTTATATTTTGTTCCATTTACTTTATCTTTGTATGCACACATACATACATGTATTCATTGCATTTAAACATTTTTATGAATATTGAGATTAAGTTGTAAACATCACACCCTTTTAGCCCTAAATATTCAGTGTGTACATCCTAATAACAGATACGTTTTCTTTTAAACTATGGCACAGTGATCAAAATCATGAGATTTAACCCTGACACAATACTATTACAGTTCGTACTCAAACTATCAATTGCCTCAATAATGTTCATTTTCTGGTCTAGGTTCTAATCACAATTGCAGTCGGTTACAATGTCTTTTTTAATCTGGAAAAGTTCCTGAAACGTGATCTTTCAGGACAGTATACTATAGAAATGAAGAGTGTAGGGCAGTTAATTGGTACACTGTCTTTCAGTTTGTACTTATCTAATGTTTCCTTGTGACTCAAACCAGATTATGTATGGCGGGGGTCAGGGGTTTCTTGTGAGTGATGTTATTTCTCTCTCAGAGGCTCCTATCAGGAGGCAATTGCCTCGTGTTTACACCACCAGAAATGGAGATTGAACTGATCTTTCTGAATAAAGTTTCTTCTGACCTTGACTTGATCCCCCTGGGTGTCAGTTCCTAGCTTCACGCCACTCGTTTCACCCAGCTATCTAAGCCTTAGCACCATCTTTGGGCAGTGACCTGAGCAGATCTCATCTGAACTTCTGTCCAAATGGACCTGAAAGGTGTGAGTCATGGTGGAAACAGGAAGCAGATGGCTGAGGTCATGACTTTCCTCCTGCGCAATTGGAAACAATCTTAAAGTCCCAGCATCCCTTTGGTAGATTTTGATGGCTGTGGCGGGCCTCTGAACTGTAATCAGACTTTTGGCTTCTCCTCTTAAGCAGCTCATGGTGAATCCTTTTTAATGCAGCTGCAATAAGGTTAGCCAAAGTCCGAATACTCAAGTGCTAAAATATGGACACAAAGTAATCTTCGGGTAGTTAATGAGAACAACATTTTGCTTTCCTATATTTCTTTAACCTTTTGCAATGCCATTTCCTCACTTATCCTCGTGATATCTCTGTGAAAGAGATAGGGCAGTTAGCATCTCCATTTTATAGACACAAAAAAGGAGGCAGAGATTAAAGATAGTCCCCATGTGATTCAAAAGAAATATTGAGGACTCCTTTTGGAGATAATACCCTTTAAAGATGTTCAAAAAATCTAGAAATGCAGGGAAATTTTCTTTAATAGAAATTTTTCTAGATTAGTGATTCCACCCATGACTTTATATTTGGAGGCATTTTGCTGATAAAGTTTCTGGAAATTGAAGGAAAATATACTTGAAATATTATGTGAACATATAACTAACTTTATTTAAATATACACTTTCCTCTTTGTTTCTAGACTTCTTTTGTCCTCCTAGAAGGAGCTAGAGAGATAGTTTGATGAGCAAAGCAGAGTCTTGACCTGAAATCACAAGCTTAAAGAACTCTAATATTTAGTGACTTTGTATAGAGTAATCAAGACCTAACAAAAGGAATGCAAGAGCAAAAAGCAGGGTGGGAAGGACATCTGACTGAGGGAGGGTAGGAGATGGGGACAGCTTTTTACAGAAGTAACATTTAAGTGGGACCTTGAAGGCTGAGTAAACTTTTGATGGCTGGTAAAGAGAACAGCATTCCAGATTTTAAAAAAACATCACCGAGAACAAGCCACCCCACCATGAAAGTACAGAGCACATTTGACAAATAGCAAACCCAAACTAGAAGCCAGGATTCTCATAACTCCTCCCTGATTTCCTTTGGACTATAAGCTCCTTGGATCAGAAACCAACTTTTTTGTTTCCTCTAATGCAGTAGTATCGCCAGCACAGCTGTATTTGTTACAAACATTTTGTTCTGTAGGGCTCCAAGGGACCAAGCAAATGAATTTCAGGTGCAAATTATTTGTATTGTTAAGCAATATGTGTGTTTCTGTATTTCTACATATCAATCAACAAAAAAAAACAGAATGCTGAGATAATTGCTTTTCCCAAACATTATTCTACCCATACAAGTATATACACTTTAAATATGAAATAAACTGACAGAAGTACAGAAGTTCAGGAGTTCATACCTAGGTCTACTCCTATGGATTCTTTCCATAGCCTGCATTTGTACCCATTCTAAATCACAGCAGCTGCAAGTGGTACCTCCTCATGATTAGACTCCTAGGTCTTTACCCACTTCCGTGAAATAATGTATAGAACAATATTGGAACAATAATCTCTTTTAATTATTTCCACCAACCAGGTCTACTGAAGTGTCTGTTACTTGAACAATTAAGAGCAGAGGTGAAGGTTGAAGCCCAGTTGTTCAATGTGGTGAGACTCAAAGTGGCCTCCATATTATTAAAAGCCCTGTATACTACCTGAAAAATACCCAGAGAGTTCACTAAATTAGCAGTATCCATCTCATTTCTCATGCTTTAGTGCAACTAAGAAAAAATGCAATTGTTGAAATTGTATTTTATAGAATTTTAGAACTAGAAGGAACGCTTTAGATCTTATAGTCCATAGCTCCCTCAATTTTCACATGCAGAAAGCAAAGACTCTGAAAAGGGAAGTTCAATGGCAAAGTTAGGCCTATAATCTAGTCTTATGATTCTTTTTTCTCTCTTTTCTATTAGCATAAATTAACTCTACAAAGGGATTTCATTGTGATATTTCCACACATGCATATAATGTTCTTTGATTAAGTTCTCCCCCTCTTTTTATAAAACAATTTAAATAGGTTTCATTCTATTTTCATATATGCATATCAAGTACTTTCATCATGACTCTTAATCATGTGCTTTTTCTATTACAATGGAGTATCATTATGTGCAAACTTAATTTATGAAATTTGTGAATATAGTGATAGAGCAAAAGTACTACAAAATCATCTCATTTACACATATTATTACATCCTATATAATACCATGTTCATTATATATCTATACATATATATTGCTATATATGATTGCATCTCAGAAATCAAATGAACAGCATTTCATCAGTTATGCAAAGGAATTTTAAAGGTACCTACTTTAAAGTAACATCTCATTAACATACAGTTCATGTAGTATAAAATCCACTCTTTTAAGTGTACAGTTTATTGGTTTTTAGTATGATCACCAAGTTGTGCAACATTTATTACCATCTAATTTCAGAACATATTCATCACCTCAAAAGAAACCCATATCCATTAGCAGTCACAGCTCCTTCTCCTTCCACCCTGGCAACCACTAATCTACTGTGTGTTCACATTTTTGGAACATTTCATATAAATTTTCCTGTGAGAACTGTGTTAGCAATATCCCATAACTTTTTGGGTTTTTGTGATTTCATTTTCCTTTATCTCAATGTATTTTAATTTTCCTTATGATTTTTTTCTTTTACTTACTGGTTAGTCGAATCATGTTAATTTCTATACATGTCTCTCTATTATTGCTTTCTAATTTAATTCCATGGTACTCAAAGAATATACTTTTTATGATTTCAATCCTTTTAAATTTTTTGAGACTGGTTTTATAGCTTAGCATATGATTCACCTGGAGAATGTTCTGTGGGCACTTGAGAAAAGTGTGTATTCTGTTGTTCTGGGGTAGAGTATTCTATAGATGTATATTTGTTTATAGTGTTATGCAAATCCTCTATTTACTTGTTGGTCTTCTGCCTAGTTGTTCCTTTCACTATTAAATGTGCATATATATTTATAGCTACATTTGTTGGAGGTATTGACCCTTTTATCATTGCAAAATGTTCATTTTCTCCAGTAACAAATTTGCCTTAAAATCATTTTTTTTCAGATGTTGGTACAGCCATTCTAGCTCTCTTTTAGTTACTGATTAGATAGATGGTAGATCTTTCCCATAACTACCCTCGACATATTGATCTTTCAATCCAATTGTTTCTCTTTTAGGTAGCATAAAGTTGGATCATTTTTCTAAAATTATCCATTCTACCAATTCCTGACTTTTAACTTGAGTGCTTAATCCACTAATGTTTAATGAAATCACTTGTAAAATGGAATTGCATCTGCCATTTTGCTTTTTTCTGTATGTCTTATTTGTTCCTTTATTATTCAAATCATGCCTTTTTGTGTTAAATTCATGTTGTCTAGTATATAATGGTAATTTCCTTATTGATTTTTATTAATTTTATTTTGAGTTATTTTCGTAGTTTATCTGAGGATTTCAATTAATATCTTAACAAATCTACTTTAGATTGATACCAACTTGATTTAAACAGTGTATAAATTTTTTTACAATACGTTTGTGTTTCTTTCTCCTTCCTTGGTGCTATTATAGATACACAAATTACATCTTTATACACAATATGTCTGTCAACACATTTTTATAATTGCTTGTTCACACAGTTGTTTTTTGAAATAAGCCAGATACAGAAAGAAAAATATTGCATGATCTCACTTATTTGTGGAATCTTTAAAAAAGAGGGGGGAAAGGTCAAATATACAGAGATGGAGAATAGAACAGTGGTTACTGGGGGGACTAAAAGGATGGTTGAAATGGGGAGCTATAGATCAAAGGATACAAAATACCAGACACTTAAGATGAATAAATCTAGAAATCTCATATACAAAATGAGGACTATAATTAGTACAATTGTATTTTAGCTGCCCTTGTCACACAAAAGAGAATTATGTGAGACCACAGATGTTAATTTGCTTCACTATAGTAACCACTTTATTATCTATATATATCCCATAACATCATGCTGTATGTACACCTTAAATACACACAATAAAATTAATTTTTTTAATAATAAAAAAGTTATAAAATAAATGTGTACACTTTCTGGAATTTACTTACCAATTTATGTTCACTGGTGTTCTTTATCTTTTTATGTGGGCTTGAATTATTGTCTCACAACCTTTCATATCTCCCTTTCGTATTTCTTATAGGACAGGTCTACAAGGAATGAATTCTATGTCTCTATTTATCTTCATTTTTCATTCATTTCTGATAATGATAATTTTGAATGAACAGGATTTTGCTTTATTTCCTTAAATATTTGATCCAGTAAGTCTCCCAGACTTTCAATGCTCTACTAGGCAGTTTACAACTTTATCATAGCTTCACTTGCTGCTTGCATAGGGATTTAAGGTCAGCCACAAGTGACAGTTTAGGTCTTTCTGTTTTCTGAGAATACACCCCATCCTCAACATGTGCCTAGCATTCTATAGTCCCAAGAATTATATATTAGAGCTTCTAGTTCTACAGCTTTCCTCCTAAAGGTTTGAGTAGTTATATTTGCCCTACCGCAATGCCCCACTTCACGTAGCTGCAAGTTTTAAACAATTGCATCTGATTAATGCCCCCTGAAAATGTTGTTCACAGCAAGTGTGCTGTGAATCAGGTGAAATAAAGAACTCTGTCAGCTGAAGTGTCCAGGGTACTACCACACACTGGTCAAAAGTGACATTTCTCTGGTAATGAGGCACTTTGCGGGGCGGCGGAGGGGGGGCTCCAAACCAGCAACAGCATCCTTCAGTGGCTACTAGATGGCTGTTCTTGATGGATATTAGAGACTATTGGTTTTCAAGGCTACTGTGGAACTAGAGAGAGGGTGAATGAAAATAGGGTAAGTTAAGACACCAAAAATCTTAGTTTTCTTATAAGTTTCTGATATTTTTCTTGAATAAATACTTCTTGTATTCTTGAAACCTTCAGTGTTTTTCCAGAGTTCAGAAAAAGTTGATTTTGTCAATGTTACTGCATTTATAGATTTTCAGGGCCCTATTCCACCTTTCTGGAAGCCTGGAGCTCAAAGACTTTTGACTTTTGTTCAATTTTCATTTTGCAGAAGTATTTGAGAATGAAATCCCTTCAGAGATGCAGCTCCATTATATGTCACTTTGCCTTAATTCAATTTTAATTTCAAAATAAAAATTTAAATAATACTGATTCAAAAAAAAAAAAAACTAAAACAACCATTCCTAAGCTCATAATGTCAAGAAAAGGAAAGTTAACTTTGTTTCTTCTCTTCTTACAGGACCTGTATCTGCCTCTGTCCTTGGATGACTCAGACTCACTTGGTGATTCCATGTGAAGGGGGAGAGACTCTTCAGAGTCCAGAGTATAAATGCAAGCCTCCCATTACTGTAGGGTAATTTTGCTCAAGTGTCCAACAAGGCTATTGGTGCTTTCAATTTTTATTTGTTGTTGTTGTTGTTTTCCAAAACACACTGTAGTATGTTGGGTTTACTTTCCTGTGACTTCTCCTCTGGGCCACTAATTCACAGTTACCAATTATGAGAGATAGATTGATAACCATCCTTTGGGGTAACTTTCCAGGGATGCAAAATGTGCTATCCATGACCTTTCTACTGAATGTTAGACACCTCCACTCTTACATTGCAGTCTTCCTTCTGTGGAGGGCTGTTTATATAGATAGCAGTTAAATGTTTGCATGGGAAAAACTTATTGTTGAATTCAAAAGTGACAAACATGAATTCCCCTTGTCTCTGGGTTTTCAAAATTCTGGAGGATCAAGGAGAATGGCAAGACAGCTCCCCAGGCTTGCTCTTCACTCATGATTGAGTCCCCAGTTTGTTGTCTAGCACCTATTCTGGCCATCAAGAGGGAGAAACATCAGCAACTTATAATTATGACACCATATACTTAGGACTTAGGTGCAGAGATAGCTAAAAGAGACATGGAAGAATTGGTAAATACTGCATACACTTCAGCAGTTTCTAAAGCACAGTGAATTCCTGGGCAAACTCTCCACTGAGGCAATTTGGAATCAATAAGCAATTGGTAAGAATTTGGGGTAAGGGACTTCATATACCTGATTCCTCTAGGAGGCTAACATGACAAGTTATTATACAAACTGTATGGTATCCATCTATCTCTGTTCTATTGAATGCCTTGTAACAGCCAACACTGAAAACACTGTGAGAATTTGTTTTCAGGTCTGACACATTTTGGTCGCTTTTTATAGCAAGAAACCAATATCCTTTTTATAAAAATTCATGACTGTATTTTAGGAGCAAACTCTCAGGCTCCTTTTTTATAAACTGGTGATTTTTCTTTTGTCTAAAAAACACATGCAGAAAACTTATCAAAAAAATGCAGAATAATGTAGTTTAGAAATCATGCTGTCACTGCCAAACAGAAATCTCCAGGAGAAAATAAAATGAATAGCAGAGGCCAATTCAATAGAATCAGTCTTTTGATAGCTTTTTAACAGTTATGCTTACATTAATAATTTCAATGTGGACCAGACATTCTAATTATATTTTAAATGAAATGTTATGGCATATTTTAAGCAACTCTTTTTTATCTATAATCCTACTATTTCATATTGAAGACACAGAAACCTTTCACTTGTCTTTAACACTAGAAAGGATTTCTCTTTATTAAGGACTGATTATTTGAAATAGTTCTCAGTCTTTGAGATACAGATTCATCACACTGCTTTTTGTCTATAATCATAACCCATAATAGCAAAGTCAACTAAGTTTAGGTGAAAGCCATGCATGCCAATTCTGTGTTTGCTTTTAGCGGATATGAAGGTTTCCTTTATTTCTTTGTAATTATTCAGATATTTTGAAAGGTGCAGCATTCAAAGTCAAGCTGTTGTTTGACTACTGAATGACTTGCAGTTGTCCCTCCATTCTAAGTGGAATGAGCTTGCTGTGTGTGTGTGTGTGTGTGTGTGTGTGTGTGTGTGTGTGTGTGTATGCATGCACACACAGGCGCATCTGCAGATGCTTCGTGATTAGGAAATACTAAACGACAACGAACATGAATTGGTGGCAACTTGCTGACACCAATTGCACGTTGCTGGTGTTCAGGGGGAACCCAGGGTGGGAAGGGGTAGCTAGATGCTTCTAGACAAATTGCAGATGTCCTTGGTTACCAGAAATATTTTTGGTTCAGGAGAAGTGACATGATGATCGTACTGGTTTCAGGTTAAAGTCATTACAATACCCAAAATTGTGAGGATCCCATTTTGTGCTGCTCTTTATTTGTAGACCCACTCAAAACCATTAAGATGAGCATTTTACTCAGCCCCTATTTCTTTCTAGAAGCTCAGGGTTTTCTTAGTGCCTCCCAGAAAGTTCATAGTTAATTAGGAAAAATTGGCAATAAGGATGGGGGTGAGGATGGAGTGGTGGGAGGTTTATTTTTAATCCTCAGGCCAGAACTGCCTCCCAAATACTCCACCCATGATCTTTTTCAAGATCTCATTTAGCCCCATACCTTCATTTTAAGATGAGCAAACAGAGACCCAGGCAGCTTAATGATCTGCTGGGAAGGTTAGGAGCAGAGAAGAATGCAGATTTCCTCATGCCTAGAATCCACACTCTGAGCACTTGCTTGTGGCATATGTAACACTAGAAAATACTAAATGGACATATTTTCTTGAGAATTATCTTTGAGCTGGCACTCTTATATAACAATAGTACTATTTCCATCTTTCTTTTAATCAATTACAAGGAAGTATTCATGTACTGCAACTTCAGGGGGCTTGGTATAGTTCAAAACTCAAGTCTTCAATAACTGCATTTTAAATTGGTCCACTTTCAAGTTCAATATTTTGTGTGTAACTGAATTCCTTCACCCTTGTTATTCATTCCCAGTTTTACCCAATCCAGTTTTACCACTTTAGTCCCATTGTGTTGACTTCTGCATGATCAGCAAATATCAAGTCAGCAAGTATTTGCCATCACTCCCCATAACTTCTCTTTCCCACTTGTGCGTGCGCGCGCGCGCACACACACACACACACACACACACACACACACAAGATCCATCTGTTGCTTGTTCCTACCTCCTTATTTTTTCCTTACAAATGTAGAAATAGGGACAAAGAAGGGGAAATGTATATATGGGGGCTGGGCTGAACAACTAACTTCATAAGTAGTGTTAACTAGAGGTAAATTGAGAGAAGAGCTCCTTTTCTCTTCACTGTTTTGGAAAGGATAGCCATTAGCATGACTGCTTTGCGTCCTTATGGACTTTAGTATTAGCCTAGATAGAATCATAGAGTTTTCTAGCTGGAAGAAACCGTAAGATCATATCATCTACTCCAAATCCTCATTTTTCAGGCCAGGAAATGGAGACACAGGTAATTTCCCCAAGGTCACCAGCTGGCCAGGGGAAGGCTGGGATTAGAACCCACATCTCTTAGCTCTTATTCCAGGGCCTTTTCCCACTGACCAGTATTGCCTTCCACTAGGTTCCTGAGAATTCTTTCCCAGGGTCATGTTGCATCTTGGAGCCATATGCTGCTGCCCTGATCTCAGCGAGAAATCCACCCAGCAGCATAATATGGGCCTTTCACCACACTCACATAGTTCCCATCCACATGGGCAGCAGATGTACCTGAAGAGAGGGAGGCATTGAGAACCAACAGGAACCATAGTCCACCCAACACAGAGGACCTTTTCCCCACTTTGAGGAGCCATCCAAATAGTCCTTTGATCTCCTGCTCTGTCAAAATGGAATGGAAGACTAGTTTTCCCTTTTAGCTCACTTCATGTCATCTCATGCTAGTTGGTTTTCCCAGGCTAAAGGTTTCTTATTTCTAGAACAGGGAAAGGAAGAATGGAACCCTAGCTTTGTTCATCCTGACTTTCTGAGATGGGTTTTCAGCATTTTTAAAACAAGCATGGCTACCATTGTTACGGATAATGATTTCTTTTAAAATATGGGAGTGAGACCAGCTAGAGAAAATAAACCCATCTTACTGTGGTTGCCCTCACTCACAATATCCCTTAGTGATCCCTCCCTGGTGAGGACAATTTGTAGGTATAAGCAAGGGGCTTTGTGACTAAAATGTACCATGGCTACTGTTAAACATTGACTCCTTAAAGGAGTGTTTGCCTCAAAATAGCAAGTGTGCTCTACACATCATGCCCATCTTCTTGTGTACGTGGCTCCTGTGGCCTTGCATAGCAGAAACCAGGGCAGCAAGGTCTGAACATGTAGTTTTCCCTGCAGCAAAGCTCTTCCTCAGAACCAAGGGCTTTTCATGGTGTTCTAAGGGACATCCTACTAGAGGCTTACCCCACTCCTCAGGTACCTCCTTGTCTTTCCTACTTTTCTTTCTCAAACAAAAGTAACTAAGGAATCTTAAAGTGGATGTGTAGTTATCTCTTAGATCCTTCTTAGAATTACTTAGCACAAACAAGTCTTAGAATAGCAACTCACTGCTTGCCATTTCTAGTCTTTTCAATACTTCGGGTTGAGATGCCCCCATTGCAACTCACATTTGATTTTAAATGGATTTTCTTTTTAGAAAAAAACTCACATCTCCCTGGGATAGGAGAACAAGCATGCCAATGTCCCCCAAATAAGCGACAGCACAGTAATTGGAATGTTTCAATAGATCAGCCCACCTCAGAAACATCTGTACCAAGAGACTGCCCTAGAAAGAAATACTGGGGCTGTATGATTTGAATGACCTCCTTTGTGGTGATCTGGTTCAATATGGAAAGAAAAGGCATTAGATATTTCTTTAAAAGAAAAAGGTAATCAGAACCTGTCTTTGGCTACACAGGGCCACTTGGATGCATGGCCAGAGGCCTTACTCGTGTAGTGCCCTTGCTGCTTTAAGAGATTTGTCTTTAGGCTTCGACTGGTTTCCAAAGTAAACCATCAATGTTTTGGAGCCCATCTAGAGCAAGGAAAAGGCTGGATGTCTGTTTCAGGACCTATATCTCAGACAGGCAAAATCTGAGTGTTGGTCCAGCTATTTATAATATGTCGGGAATAATCTGGGACCTCTTTTATAACAACTAAGCCCTGCAAATGCTAGCCTCCCTAGGTCTCTATCCTAGTACAGAATTTCGAAGCTGTCACACATCTGCCTTTACCCTAAGAGGACCTCACATAAAGCCCTATCCACTGTTCTTTTAATCCATGCAGGTTATCCTTTTCCTTGCAGGCATGGCCACCTAGAGTAAGGATAGTTTATTGATTCTTCATGCCTACCTTTTGGCTACAAAGGCATCTTCCTTATTTTCTCTGGCTATTGGTGGTCCAGATCCAATCTCATACTGTTATTCCTTGGTGGAGTGACCTTAGGCTCTGAGGGAAGTCAGCTCTAAAGGCTCTAATTATGGACTAAGACAATACAGGTCATTTCTTAAAATGAATTCCCAATTTTATTGTTTCTAGCTATCAGGTAAAAGTATATAGGTCTTGTTACATAGCAGCCAAGATATAGGTATGAGGAGTAAAATGCATTTCCAATCCTGACTCCAGTGGGCAGCCTACTAATGGCTGGGGCTCTTAGTAGCTTCTTCTAGCTTCTTTTGCTTTTTCTCATCAAAGGCAAGAAAGCTTCCTCTCCAAACGAAAGACAACTGAAGAATGTTGCTCCTTCTATCCATCCAGGAAAAGGTACCTTCCCTCTCTGTCTCCCCTCCCCTGGTCGCCAGAGCTTGCTTCCATCCCAAGGGTCTAGTGTGGTCTTTATACCAATCCTCTTGGTGTTGCTTCCTTCTTGGTTCCTTGCTAAGGATCCATGCAGACCTCACACTTTGGCCAACTTAGTGTGACATTGACTATCATTTGACAAGACTCACTTATTATCCCCTAGTTTATTCGCTTCAACATCTTCTGGAATTAGATTCATTTCTTACCTTGGATGCCCAGGGCTAGAATTCCTATGGGAAATTAAGGCAACTTCCTGCTCCTGATTAGAAGGGCAGGTTAGTTGGGAGATGTCAGATGGCACAACAGAAGTCAGAACAAAAACCTGGTATACTAAGGCAAAGACTTGAAGGCATTGGAATTTCTCATTTCTGGGAAATAACATGAAAACATCAATGGCTTTTTGCCACTCTACCTCCTTTTTTCTTTCTCTCTCTAGTTCCTTGTATTTCTCAATTTATACTCTGTGTTATCAGCATCTTCTTCCAGAGTACAGTCATCATTCTTTGACTTGTGCAATTTTTATTATCTTTATTTTTTCTCTTTCTTCCCTATCTAGGCACTGGGCATATGCCTCTTATCAGCCTTTGATTTTGCCATGGAATTGCTTAGAAATTTCTTTCAGATTCAACCAGCCTTGGTCCTACTGCAGTCCAATCAGAAGTATGTTGGCAG